AGGTCGGGGGTTGGGAATGGAGCGTGGAGAGATGGAGGGGCAATTTTTGCGAGTGTAGGGTGGAGACGCGAGGGATGGATTTATTTCAGTCAGCTTCTGGTCAACTGAGAAGTGTTGTATTCGGATGGTGGATTTAATGCGTTTCCAGTGTTTCTGATTGATCTTCGAAGTTGTACTGATGAGAGTTTGATCTTTAGATCTTCGGGTGATAGAATCTTTAGCCCCTTGCAGGAGGACAGTTCTGATATGTACAATCATAGTTTTCTAGTGAAACATCAATTCGATTGTTGACTGTATTAGGTAGTGATATACCAATCAAGGGATGGAAGTATTCCATTTCAATGTTTCACGTCTAATCACGTTCCATCGAATTCGACATTGGATATCGAATTTCATAATTTTGCCACGCCGGATAGAGTGGGGCTCCCGATATCTTTGTAATTCGACAACCGTCCATTACTCTCCCAAGTAAATTCCACCCCTACATCGACACGCAGCAAGGCTCGCGCGGTAATCAGGGATAAAATCGATATATTCCTTCGAGCCCATAATTGCCGGTGAAGTGGCCGCGAAAGGGCGATCGAACGCTGGCTACGCGGAGGACACACATTCGGCGGCGTATCTCGGGGCGGCGCGACGCGACGCGACGCGACGCCGCGTGACAAACGGTCGTCGATATTAAAATCGTCGCGGGAACACGTTTTTCGTACGGGCCGTCGCGCGCCGGCTCGTTCCAGCCGGCGATTTGTACCTGAACGCGTGACTGACGCGTGACTAACCATTCGCGTGTCACGTCATTTCTCTTCGCGAGAAAGCGCACTTCCCCATTGAGAGGCCGCCGATTACAAATTAATTGAGAGTGAAACGCGAACGCACGGCGAACGGCTTTGAAAACGATGTCGACGGGACTGGAGGCGCTAATCATGAATAATGAATGCCGGCCCGCCGCGGAACGCTTAGAACCGTTTCAACTCGGAGATTTCGAGCAATAATCCCGCGCGCTCCACCTTCCCCCGCTCCCCGTTTCCCACTTCTTTGCCCTCCTTCGCCGCGGTTCGCCGTTTCCCAGCATCCCCTCGGTCCGGTGTTTCAGAAAGTTAACGCGGCGAGCGTTACTTTGAGCCGCGAAGCTTTGACGATTCTTAAAGAAGTCGATGAAAGACGTTTCGATCGTGAATTAACCTTTGCGGCCACCTCTCTCCGGTGAAAGTGGAAAATTGTTATTACCCTGTGAACGCTGCTTGGAAAGAATTTTTCTGCCGTTGGTTTATTATGCAGCCGATACTCGCTGTTATTGGGAATTAGTTGATGCATCAGGTTTTCTGCACCGATGACATTTGTGTAATCAGGATTCAAAGGAGCAGGGTACGTCGTCGAAGAATTTACATTGAGTCGTTGACGAATCTAATTAAGCAGACTGCAGACACGTATGCGTTTATTGAACGAAGTTTTCGACAGCTGGTGGAATACTGGAACCGATAACGCAGGGGACGCGTTTATCTATCGAAATGTAAATTGGTATGCAAATCTGCAATCTAGTCAAGAGATAATGCTCTCTTGTCAGATTGGACTGCCCAAGGAGAGGAAACAAAAGCAGAAGAAGCCACTTCGAGTTACAAGAGGAGAAAGCGTTCAACCAAATGATAAATCTACAATGTTAACAGGTTGACCACGCTAATTGAAGATAAATTCTACACAAGCATCTTCACTCTATGCGTCTTCATCTTCTCCACCAGAACCTGTTACTCGGAGCACAATTCACTCCGAGTCCTCACCCAATTAATAACAATCACTGCAATCGGAATCCACCTAATTTCTCAAACAACTTATACTCATCCTAAAACTGCCAGCAACAAACTCCACCGACCGGACTTCATCAACGGTGTCGCCTATTTGCTACCGAAGACCAACTAGGCAACGAAACAAGGCTACAACAGCCCCGTCGCTAGCGTCGAACACGGCGCGCAATTTTTCACGGGGCGCGACAAAGATATCCGATTTTCCTATCCGCGAGGCCCTTTTGAAACCGCGATCGGCGCGTCGCGGACAGCTAGATGTATTGTCCCGACCAGCGACCAGTTCTGGATCCGCCTTGTCGCAAACGGCCGACTATATTTGGCGCGGGCGCGGCGTCTGGAGGCAGCGGCCGCGTGTATTTGGCGCAACCGTCGCGTAAATTCATCCGTCTACCAGCAACGGAATCGTGTCTCCGGTGTACAGAACCTCTCTCTCCCTCTCTCTCCCTCCCTCCCCCTCAATATCCCATTAGGTTCATTAACCGCGGGTGGCACAATCGCGCGCGCGACCCGCTACAAATCGGGCCTCGCCTTTTATACGCCGTTACCACTGCCACCATCCGACACGGTTTCTTGCCCCGTCCCGAGACAGAAATCTCGCGGGTTTCGCGTCCGCGGGATTTCACGGCAATTACGTCCCCCCGGGCCGCGGATGACTTTCTTCGAATTAATAGCCCGACCGACCCGTTTACGGAAAGTGGAACAATAGGGAAGCACAATGCCCGATCGGTTCCCCGTACCGATGGGGATTGATCGTTCCTAACGACCGGAGCGCGCGTGTACTTTCGTTCCCCGGCGCAATCGCGGCAAAAGGAAATAATCGCGGAAGCGGTCGGCCGGAATGTCGTCTCCGTTCCAGCTTTCTTTCCATCGAGGAACCCATCGGGACGTCGAGCGACAAACGTCCGACATCGTGACAACCGCGTGTACCGCTGGGACAGGCTACCCTCGAAACGGCCAATTCCGTTCAACCGATACCGCGATCCCCGGATTCGATCTATCCGGAAGAGGGTAACCTGGTTTTTGCTCTCCCCGCGGGGAGTCGGACAAATGAAGGATCGACCTGATCAATCAACCTTGCTAGGGATCCTCGAGATTATGTCGCGAGAGGATCCAAAGACGAAGTTACCCCTGTAGACACGGTACGGGATGCGCGATGGAGGACTCCTCTACACTCGAGACTTTAGAGATGCGTCGTATCGATCAGAGACTTTGGGGAAGGCCTAGCGAAGGCTGAAATAGCGATATTAACAATGAAGAAGAAGAAGAAGAAGAAGAAGGAGAAGAAGAAGAAGAAGAAGAAGGAGAAGAAGAAGGAGAAGAAGAAGAAGAAGAAGAAGAGGCTGAAGAAACAGAAGAAGAAAAAGAGGAGAATGAAGAAGTAGAAGAAGAAGAAGAAGAAGAGTACTAGGTCTATCTCCTCTCCCTTCCTCGCTCCCCCCTCTCGCAGACGTTGTCACCATCTCTCTCGGCGCAGCGAGTTCCCCCGGAGTGTCTTTCTCTGGCCAGCTGGAGGGGAAAACGAAGGTACAGTAACCCCAGATCCGAAGCAGCAACCTCTCTGCTAGGCGCGGCCTTCTGACGCCCGCTCGATAGAAGCCCAACCGGTTCCAGCCAATGGAAGTACCGGGCGAAGATAAAGCCGTCGTCCCATTGGTCGACGTGCTATTCAGACTGACACCGCCGCTGATGGGAAACGGCGAAGGAGAGGAGCACGCGAGATGGAACTGGTCCCACCAGCATCCCGCGGACCCGGCGCGGCGGTCGTGTTATCCCTGCCGAGAATGGGAGTCATCTGGTGGATGCCGCTCGAGGCTGTTTTACACCGGAAGGATTCCTCGGGAATCACCGGGTGGAACTGATCTGCCGGGACTTCGGGTTGCACTTGGGATTGTTTCTGTTGGTATTCTTAAGGCGGGATTGGACGAATCGCGGGTACTTCGCGGACGCTGATTCAGGGTGGTTTTTTTTTCGATTTGAAACGGGAGGTTTCTGTACGAGTAGATTCGATAGACTTTCGTTGCACCTCGGGAAGATTCCAGTGGAATTTGATTTTGTAATGCGACCTTTGATTGAGTTTTGTGCTGCATACTTTGTACATCAGGTTTATGGAATTGTACGTTTGTCTATTTGTTTATTGTGTTTGTGTAATGGAAATGTTATATTAGGAATTGGAGCGGTAGAGTTTTTGGCTAACCTAGTATTATGTCGTAGGTAGAGGTATTGATTGGAATAAATAGTAACTAGTAAGTTTAATTGGCATATATTACTGAAGGATTTATTAGTGAGAGTTAATCTTCTTATTTATACAATGGTACAACAGTTTGTAAAAGATATTGAAACGGGAAGAATTGAATATCAAAGTGACACAGATTTTAGAGTGTGTAATTAATGCAATGGAATAATCTGTAATGGGAGAGAGATCCACTTTTTTAGATGTCCGAGGTTTTATCTATTACCTCGGAATATGCAGTTCTAAAA